TAGATTTCTAACTACAGTTTTCAATAATACTTGTCACTTTGCATTAATGAACTCTCATGTTCAAGAAATATTTAGAATTCAAAATGTAGATTTGTTATCTGCAATACAATAATATAAATAAAATATATTTGACAGCATTTAGGACACTAATGTGTCTTTGTTCAATAGTAAATAGTGGAGAAATTTTAGAAATATTTTCACATACCAAATTTGTCATTAACAATGTGCCAAAAAGAAAAAAGTCACTTTTGTTATCTAGGCAGAATTTTCTTCATAGAGAGATGATAGCAAACCTGTGCTTTCAGGTTCCATCTCACTCTAAACTTCTTTCTTCTTGAAGACTGTCCATTATTTGCTGTTGTCTAGTAAATCAAAAACTCCTGAGCAGATAAAATATTATTAAGAATTACAAAATAATAAATACATATGAAAGAATATAAATGGAAACGTTAACACAAATTCTCATACCTAACTTAAGAAAGTGAATATGATAGTTTAAAAGCAAGTTGCCTTTATGTGTAATGGACAAAATTTATCCAGAAAACTGCATTTTTCATTTTCTTAAAGAAGACACATGTCAGGGCTACTACTGAAGTAAGGAAGTTAGAGAGGGAGAACAGTTAAAGAGGAAACACAAGAAGGCAGCAAGAAATTCTGCATGCAAGCTCTGCATAAGCCCTGGCAGAATCCAGTAGCTATGCCTGGCTGCCCCAGATCCCAAATCCTACAAGTTAAGACTAAAGAACTACAGGGAGGCACAGGGTACCAAGTTAACCCTATAAAACAAAAAGCTACACATAATTAAATTTAATTTTAGAATAATAGGAGGAAACATATGCAGCAGAAATATTTTCAAGAATTAAGGGACAAAAAGGTCCCCAACTTGGTAAAAAATAAATCTATTTAGAGATTTAAGAATTTCTTTAATGGAAACCATTAAAATTGTAAAACAAAATGGGATAGGAAAGAGTAACAGAGGGAATGAAGATAATCAAAGCACATTATAAGCATTCATAGAAATATCACAATGAAAACCCTTTTCACACAAAAGAAGCAAGAAGAGCAACTCATTCTTTTGTGTACATGCAAAGGACTGGAGTAAGGGGTCTCCTTCAGGAGGGGCGTGCTGTGGACACCTCCTTCTCCTTTATGAGCAGAGACACATATTTTTCTTTATTCCTTGACTACGGGTTGCCCAGGTACTCGCATAGGAAAATTGGTTCTCATTGCGTTGTCAGGAAACAATGCTTGGGACTAAGGCAGAGTGGAGTGACCACCTAACTGTTAGAGCTACAAGCTTAAGAATAAAGTGGCCTTTGAAGAACATCTCATGTGTGCTTTCAGGTTAAAATGAATAAAAACAAATGCTAAAATCTCAATGTGGACACAGCATTCAACCCTGCTCTTCCACTTCTAGGTTTTTAGTCTGCAGGAATGAAAGGAGAAGAAGAGTAAACTTTTTACAGAAACCACATGTATAGAGCAAAAACTGGTAAAAAAAAAAAAACTTACGAAACATAGACAAAGCCTTCTGAGTGGATTTTAAAACACTTCAATTTAAAAAAGTGTGTGTGTTTACTGTAGAACGTAACAATGGGGCCTATTAATGAGTGTATAGAACACACCGCTCCCAAACATAGCACAATGCATTTTTTTTCCAGGACAAATTAATGATGTCCCCCCCCCCCCCCCCCCCCCCCCCCCCCCCCCCCCCCCCCCCCCCCCCCCCCCCCCCCCCCTCCCCCCCCCCCCCCCCCCCCCCCCCCCCCCCCCCCCCCACCCCCCCCCCCCCCCCCCCCCCCCCCCCCCCCCCCCCCCTCCCCCCCCCCCCCCCCCCCCCCCCCCCCGCCCCCCCCCCCCCCCCCCCCCCCCCCCCCCCCCACCCCCCCCCCCACCCCCCCCCCCCCCCCCCCCCCCCCCCCCCCCCCCCCCCCCCCCCCCCCCCCCCCCCCCCCCCCCCCCCCCCCCCCCCCCCCCCCCCCCCCCCACCCCCCCCCCCCCCCCCCCCCCCCCCCCCCCCCCCCCCCCCCCCCCCCCCCCCCCCCCCCCCCCCCCCCCCCCCCCCCCCCCCCCCCCCCCCCCCCCCCCCCCCCCCCCCCCCCCCCCCCCCCCCCCCCCCCCCCCCCCCCCCTCCCCCCCCCCCCCCCCCCCCCCCCCCCCTCCCCCCCCCCCCCCCGCCCCCCCCCCCCCCCCCCCCCCCCCCCCCCCCCCGCCCCCCCCCCCCCCCCCCCCCCCCCCCACCCCCCCCCCCCCCCCCCCGCCCCCCCCCCCCCCCCCCCCCCCCCCCCCCCCCCCCCCCCCCCCCCCCCCCCCCCCCCCCCCCCCCCCCCCCCCCCCCCGCCCCCCCCCCCCCCCCCCCCTCCCCCCTTCCCCCCCCCCCCCCCCTCCCCCCCCCCCCCCCCCCCCCCCCCCCCCCCGCCCGCCCCCCCGTCGCCCCCCCCCCCCCCCCCCCCCCTCTCTCTCCCCCCCCCCCCCCCCCCCCCCCCCCCCCCCCCCCCCCCCCCCCCCCCCCCCCCCCCCCCCCCCCCCCCCCCCCCCCCCCCCCCCCCCCCCCCCCCCCCCCCCCCCCCCCCCCCCCCCCCCCCCCCCCCCCCCCCCCCCCCCCCCCCCCCCCCCCCCCCCCCCCCCCCCCCCCCCCCCCCCCCCCCCCCCCCCGCCCCCCCCCCCCCCCCCCCCCCCCCCCCCCCCCCCCCCCCCCCCCCCCCCCCCCCCCCCCCCCCCCCCCCCCCCCCCCCCCCCCCCCCCCCCCCCCCCCCCCCCCCCCCCCCCCCCCCCCCCCCCCCCCCCCCCCCCCCCCCCCCCCCCCCCCCCCCCCCCCCCCCCCCCCCCCCCCCCCCCCCCCCCCCCCCCCCCCCCCCCCCCCCCCCCCCCCCCCCCCCCCCCCCCCCCCCCCCCCCCCCCCCCCCCCCCCCCCCCCCCCCCCCCCCCCCCCCCCCCCCCCCCCCCCCCCCCCCCCCCCCCCCCCCCCCCCCCCCCCCCCCCCCCCCCCCCCCCCCCCCCCCCCCCCCCCCCCCCCCCCCCCCCCCCCCCCCCCCCCTCCCCCCCCCCCCCCCCCCCCCCCCCCCCCCCCCCCCCCCCCCCCCCCCCCCCCCCCCCCCCCCCCCCCCCCCCCCCCCCCCCCCCCCCCCCCCCCCCCCCCCCCCCCCCCCCCCCCCCCCCCCCCCCCCCCCCCCCCCCCCCCCCCCCCCCCCCCCCCCCCCCCCCCCCCCCCCCCCCCCCCCCCCCCCCCCCCCCCCCCCCCCCCCCCCCCCCCCCCCCCCCCCCCCCCCCCCCCCCCCCCCCCCCCCCCCCCCCCCCCCCCCCCCCCCCCCCCCCCCCCCCCCCCCCCCCCCCCCCCCCCCCCCCCCCCCCCCCCCCCCCCCCCCCCCCCCCCCCCCCCCCCCCCCCCCCCCCCCCCCCCCCCCCCCCCCCCCCCCCCCCCCCCCCCCCCCCCCCCCCCCCCCCCCCCCCCCCCCCCCCCCCCCCCCCCCCCCCCCCCCCCCCCCCCCCCCCCCCCCCCCCCCCCCCCCCCCCCCCCCCCCCCCCCCCCCCCCCCCCCCCCCCCCCCCCCCCCCCCCCCCCCCCCCCCCCCCCCCCCCCCCCCCCCCCCCCCCCCCCCCCCCCCCCCCCCCCCCCCCCCCCCCCCCCCCCCCCCCCCCCCCCCCCCCCCCCCCCCCCCCCCCCCCCCCCCCCCCCCCCCCCCCCCCCCCCCCCCCCCCCCCCCCCCCCCCCCCCCCCCCCCCCCCCCCCCCCCCCCCCCCCCCCCCCCCCCCCCCCCCCCCCCCCCCCCCCCCCCCCCCCCCCCCCCCCCCCCCCCCCCCCCCCCCCCCCCCCCCCCCCCCCCCCCCCCCCCCCCCCCCCCCCCCCCCCCCCCCCCCCCCCCCCCCCCCCCCCCCCCCCCCCCCCCCCCCCCCCCCCCCCCCCCCCCCCCCCCCCCCCCCCCCCCCCCCCCCCCCCCCCCCCCCCCCCCCCCCCCCCCCCCCCCCCCCCCCCCCCCCCCCCCCCCCCCCCCCCCCCCCCCGCCCCCCCCCCCCCCCCCCCCCCCCACCTTAATGATAATCATTCTGAGTTTTCTGAGAGTCTGAATTGGGCATATTTCCAAGGTACCTATGCTTCTACACAAACTTGACTTTCTACCTGGAACACTCTCTTCTGTTTTCTCTGCCTAGCGAAGGAAGTGGACACACCTGCATTCAAATTTGGGCTTTCAGCCCCATGTGGTGGCTTTCCAGCTACTCCGGAGGCAAAGATTAGGAGGATTATGGTTCATGGCCAGGCCAGGGAGGGGTGAGAGGTGAAGAGAGTTAGTGAGACCCCCATCTCAACCAATAAGCTGGTTGCAGTGGTGTGTACCTGTTATCCCAGCTACTCAGGAGGCATAAATAGGAGGATCACAGTCTAAGGCTGGCCCCGGGGTAAAAAAGCAAGACCCTATCTGAAAAACAACCTTAAGCAAAAGGGGCTCGAAGTGTGGCTCAGGTGGTAGAGGTCCTGAGTTCAAATCCCAGTATCACACCACCACCACCAAAAAAAAAAACAGGCCTGGCTCTGTGATCTGAGGTATGTCGCTTAACCAATCTAAACCTCAGTTACTTCACTAAGAAAAAGAAGCTACTTCACGAATGCTTTCAGCATTAAACCCAATTCCAGCTAAAGCCCTTAGAAACAGGGACTAAAATGTTCACCTTTTAATAATTAGTTTAAGTGACTGGTCTCACTATGAGACTTTCTCTAACCTCAGCCTACAACAGAGTGAAGTACTCCTTTCTTTCTAGTCTGAGGCACTCCATTCATTTTACTGTTATAATACCAATCCTGTTCGGTGTTATTTGTGAATGTTTCCCCTAGAAGTCACAAGCTCCCTAAAGTTATGTATTTTGCCTTTATAAACAATTAGGCACACAAAGAATGCTTACTGAAGGAATTTTTTTTATTATGTCCTGAAATAGTTTTTCTATTGTACTCATGTAATAAACTGTGCTTTTAAAAAATGTAATTGTTGACAGTATCTCAATTTGATTTTAGAACTTTGATGTGAATCTATTTTCTATAAAGTCAGAATTTAGAATACTAAAACTTACCTCACTGCAATAAACTGGAAATGTGAAGTTTCTAGACAACCCTGCGTAATGATCAGAATGGAAGTGTGTGAGGAAGTAGGCCGTGCAACCTTCCACCACGCCATACTGAAAGGCATCAACCGTAAAGCTAGTACCTGCAATGAAAGGCCACCACAGTGGGATGAGCAGGAGTTAATACTCCCAGACCTACTGACCTGAGTAGAAATACCAAGCCCTGATCTTCTCTACCTCTCATTTCCAATTTAACTACAATTTGGTTAAAACTTTAGACCACATAAATTTAGCAAAAGGTGAGAAAAGTCTTATTAAGTTTCAACTAAATCCCAGTAGAGAATTCTTTTGATGAATAACTGCACCAAAAAATAATTTAAAATGATATTAAGCTACAAACCAATTACTTTTTGTTTTAGCTAATACTTTCATACTTACTGGGCACCCACCTTTTACTTCTGTAAAACAGCAATAAGGAGAATCATTTAGCAGTAAGTGGAATCATCTAAAGCATGAATTCTCAATGTGGGGTGACACTGATATACTTCTAAGGGTCAAAATGGTTAAGGGGCAAAAATGGTTGGGGTCAAAAGTCGAAATAAAAGATAAACAGTGTATCTACAGTCTTTGAATTTCACTTCAGGGTAAGGGAAGAGGGTAGAAAACAAGAAAACGCTGCTTAAAAAAATCTCCCTAGAGGAGCAATAATGAAAGAAAAAAAAAGTTGAGAAATACCATTTTAAAACGTATTCATGAAAGAAACAGCCAAATGTGCTAACAGGCTGATATTTAAGTAATATGTGTAACTCCAGTCTACTGAGGCAGGGCACACTAGAGTTAGGCTCACTTAAAAGTACAGAAAATGCTTCACAACCATTACTAAAACAAAGCTGGTGCTATTCTCTAAACAAATACTTTGAACAAATTATAGATTTAGAACATTAAAACAGCAAATCCACAAAAAATCTTTTGAAACCAAGTATGTTTTGGCTGCTTTAGTGAATATTCTTCTCAGAAGAAGTTATTGGTTTCTTCAGTAATAAAATTCATTTTGCTACACATTTTCTATGTTCTCACTTGACTTCTCTCTCATATGACTTTGGGTTGGAGGGAAAGAGACACCCTTTCCTCCCATCTGTAAAGGCATAAGAAATTACAATGTATAAAGGCAGAGAAATCAAGTTTTCACACAGTTTTAAAATATCTGGCACTTACTAGGACAGGTATGACTGTCACATCTGTCTTTGAAACTATTTAGTACTTTTTATTTCTCGTAAGTGCTGAGACACTGCTTTTATGATAGTTCCTTACATAGATGAGTCTTACTTTCCTCCTTCCACAGTAACCTGAGCCTTGATTGCTCACTTGCTAGTGTATAAGATGTAACATCTACCTAACTAGTATAGTAACTTTTGAACACAGTATGTTCAATAAAAGTTTGCTGAGAATGGAGAAAAAATAAAAAACAAAAAACCAGTTTAGAGGCTCATGAAGTATCATAAGAAGCAAAGAAAACACACAGTACAAAAATTATTTCATGCCCACATCCGTGGACACTGAACATGACGTTTGAAAGATGTGGCTTTGCTGCTAAACTGAGCATTGATACTCCAACTTACCAGGTATCCTCTTATAGAACGGACACCTCTTTTTTCTTAATTCCCCTGCATCAGATGATCCTGAAATTCTCACGTTCCCTCTTTGCAGCCTGCTGTGAGCTGATTTTATGAAGACTTTGTCTTTACTTATGACTGTTTCAGATTCTGTATTGTTATTAAGGTGATGTGACCTCTTCTGATGTGCTCCTTTCTGTGGGGAATTTGATTTTTTCTGTCTTTTTCTTTGCCGCTGTGACCTCTCCCAAGTGAGTTCGACAGAGCACTGACTCTCATTTAAGTTCTTTGCATCAAACTCTAAATCACTTAAAGAATTTTCTGCTTTCCTCTTGCAAGGCTGGGACCTCTTTTTCTTGGGACTTACAACTGGATCTAAGTTCATCCCTTTCAATGCACTGTCCCTGAGTGACTTCTCTTCTCTTCTTTTGGGTGGTAGTCCAAAATACACACCTATATCCATTTGCTTCATTCCCTTGGCAGAAGAATGGCTTGCACTGCACTTAGAACCTGAGGGCAATATTTTCGAGGACTTAGCAGCAGTAGGTGTAGTGGAAACTGTTTCTGTATTTAAAATTTTAACTTTACCATCTAGCATACCACATAAGGCCTTTCTGCAGACACATTCTGAGTTACTACTGTTCTTAGCACAGAAGTTCTCACTTGATAATTCTCTCATTTGACTTTGGGTTGGAGGGAAAGAGAGACCCTTTCCTCCCCAGCTTTCAAGAGGTTTTGACATCTCACTCTTAAGTAAGGGCAGAGAAACTTGACTGCAAACAGCTGATTCTTCAATTACCTGTTTCTGCTTATTTGATTGAGATGCAGGAAATTGTGGTTCATCAGGGTTTGCTTTAGTAGTTTGATAATTAGAAGCAGGAAGCTCCCCTGTTAATGCAGGTGCAAACAACAGAAAATGACCATCAGTATATGAGGACTTATCGTCTGAAACACTGCTCTCAGTTTGGGAGAAAAGTTGAGGAAAATCATTTAGAACTCTGCACTTTAACAGTTCATTATACTTATTTTGAGTGAAGAAGCTATTCACTTCAGGGCGATGCTCCTCTGCATTCTTCAGGAAGGGACCACCGGGTCTTTTAAATGCAATAGAGAGGTCCTCATATTCCAGGCTGTCATCTTTAGAACTTTCAGTAAAAAACAGTTCCTGTTGTGAATCATCCAGCTTTTCATCTATAGCATAAGTTTCTTCGTCACTCTGAAGCGGAGAATAGGAGATTTCACAGCTGCCAAAGTCATTTTCTGGCAATGACAAGTTTGTGCATTGTGAGTTGCTTTGGCCATCTAATTCCTCAGCAAGAGGCAAACCAACTCCTACCAGTTTGTCTTTCTTAACAAATTCTGTAGACTGTAGAACTTGTTGTAACTTTTGAGAAGAGGTAATCTTTTTGTTGGTTTCAAGTGGAGGTTGAGACTTTTTTAGACACTGGGTCATCAACAAAGAATCATCTGAAGCATTTTTAAAGTTCTCTGGTGACTTCGGATGTAAAAACCATCTTTCCTCAAGGTTACAAGAATAGCTTGGCTTAGTCTCACTGACACTCCAGCCTGATGCAGGTGGCGGACTGCTAAACGGCTCACTGCTAGCCCTACTTTGAGCAAGCAGGAGGTGAGTATATTTCTTATAATGAGAAGGAAATGTTGAAGTACATCGGGCACCATCAGGACACTCTGAAAGTTTTGATAAAGAGAAAAAGAGTATTACAGGCTAAGCTAATGACAGCACTAGCACTATAAACTAACCTGCAAGTGGAAAACTTTGGAGGCCTTATGGTGATGGCTATTGCTACCTGCACAGTCAAAAGGTAAGCATTAAAATATAACATTCAATTCAATAAGGTATGACTGCTACTTATTTTATAATCAAATACTTTTAAATTGTTTTTCAAATAATCTTTTCTCAAATTATGAAAACTTTAAAATGTACAAATGATCACAATTCATTCTCCATATATTTCAAGTAGAATTTTCTATGTTACGTATGACACTTATTTTAAAAGTTAACAAAACAACATAGCATTACTTGTTATTTGAAACCTTTTTATTAAAAGCATCTTAAGACTCCTCAGTTTTTCTTCCTGTACACTAGCATGATGACTACAACACAACCATAGTTGGAAACTAGAATGGATTTAGACCTTCCTATATAGTTCCCCCCCCCCCCCCCCGCAAAAAAAGGTAAGATCACAAACTGGGCAAGTTATTTCAAAATCTTGATCTATAAAATGTATAAATACCACCTATTTTATATGGCCACTGTAAGAGTTAAGTTAAAAACAGCTCGAAAGTACCTAGCATAGTAAAAGGTTTAATAAACATTTATTCAAAAATATCTGGCCAGGCACCGGTGGCTCTCGCCTGTAATCCGAGCTACTCAGGAGACAGAGATCAGGAGGATCACGGTTCGAAGCCAGCCTGGGTAAACAGTTCCACAAGACCCTATCTCAAAAAAAACCCATCACAAAAAAGGGCTGGTGGTGTGGCTCAAGGGGTAGACACTGAGTTCAAATACCAGTACTGCAAAAAAAAAAAAAAACAACTGAATACTTAGTAATTTTTATGAAAAAATTAAAAGCATTTAAATACTTTCAGGTTGGCAACTTTCTTCACGATCATACCATCGACTAGAATATAGTGACTCAACATGTTTTTGGTTTATTGCTTGTCTTGCTAGTTTCACTGAATTGAGATGGCTGTCCTAACACAGGTTTTCTGTCATCTTACCTATGTTGGAGACTGTTGTAGAGTCCAAACATTCAAAAACATGCCATTGAGGTGTTTGTCCTAGCAAGGAGGAGAAGGGCATCTGGCAGCTTGGACAGTATCCATCATAAACTGGACGTATCTTCGGGGACACCTGCTTGCTTTTGGGAGCTCTACCTTGCTTTCTGGGTGTAGTCTCTTTGTCTTGGGACGGCTGTGTCCCATCTCTGCAACTCCAGCTCTGACTAGAAGCTCCCGAAGTCTTACAATCTGCTTCTCCAAGGCACATTTCATGGTCCTTCACCTTTCCTTTCTCTTCTCCAGCTTTCTTTTCCTTTCTTTTCCGTTTTGACTGGTAGTTTCCATATGTTGCTTTTTCAACAGATTTTGGAATATTTTCAGAGCAACTATTTGGATGTACTGGCTTTGGTTTTCTTTTAGACTTATATTCCCAGATGTCTTCTTCCAAAAACGTGTTTTCTAACATGGCCAAATGATTTTACCATTAAAGAAGTATTTATCGTTAGTAAATTGAGAGTCCATTTCTTGTTACACAATTTTTAAATGGAACTATTTTGCTGATGAAAAACCCAAAAGTAACCCAAAAAAACCTACTAACGGGACTGGAAAGTTTTGGTAATGAATGTATGGCCAAACTACAAACCTTACACCTGAGAATGCCTACTGTACCATTCGTAACACAATAAAATTAAGAGACCTACCACAGGGACAGGACTTGATTCATAAAAACTACACTCAATAATACCTTGAAAATTAAGCCCGTATGGGAACTATAGATAGGTTCAACAACTGTATCCGAAAGCAAACTTTGGGTGTTGGGAAGCCACCCTCCCTTCTCTTTCAAGTGGACATTTGTCCAAATGATCCTCAAATCCTCAGGCAGCACTAATCAAATGCCTCAGTTTACCAGTAAAACTAGTCGCACCGTCACCCACGGTGCGATTCGCAAATACTGCCTTATTACGGGCCTTATCCGTGACTCACGGATATTCATTCAACAATTCCAGCTTCAACATCACTCCAGCGTCTTCCTCCGGCAGCAGGCCCAATCCTAAACATGAACAAAGTCCAAACATGTTAACTGTGCCTGGACGGGTCACGCTATCCTCCAGGCCAGAGGCCCAGCCTCCTTCCCCCGGCCTCCAAAGTGAGGCCGGTGCCAGAACCCTTTCCCTTCTCTTTGGAGTCTGGCGGGGGGGGGGGGGGAAGTCAACACTGTCGAGGTTAGGCACAGCCAGCTTCAAAAGGGCCGCCAGAGCCCCTTCCTTCCGCAGGCTCCGATGCCAGCCCGCAGAGCCCCTCGCGGCCGCGCACCTGCCGCCTCGCCCCCCCGGAGCAGCGGCAGCTGCGCCCTCCCGGCACCCCGCGCGCCGGCCTCCCGCCCGCCCGCGCGCCGGCCTCCCGGCACCCCGCGCGCCGGCCTCCCGCCCGCCTGGCGGCCTATTCGCTCCCGCACTTTCGGCGCCCCCGGGTCCCCCAACACCTCCTTTGTGGACAAATCAAACCCACTAGCCAGCCGTTCCCACCTTAAAAAGTCTTCTCCCTTGACGATGCCCCCGCCTCCTTTACCTTTCCTGTCTTGGCCGTAGCCGCCTCCAGCGGCTGCGGAGGTGTCGAATCTGCCGATCCTACTCTAAGAATGTGACTGTAAGGAGAATTGTTTTTAAGTGTGCTTTTTTGAGCCCTACGGGTTCAATTCCTTTCATTTTTGTTCTAAAACCTGTTAGTTTGCAAAAAACGGGGCGTGTGGGATGGGTCCCTCCGCGCGAGGGAGCGCGGCCTCTTCCTGTTGAATCTGGCGCGCTGAATGTCCAGGTTCGGCCGCTGCCAGGGGCCGGCGGCGGGGGCGGCGGCGGCGGGGGGGCTGGGCTGCACGGGAGGTTAATTACGTGCCCGGACACTGCGGCCATCTGGACTTTGGCAGTTGGACGCAGGCTTAGAGAGGGAAAAAGTGCCTGTGGCGCGGGGTGGGGTCGGTGGGGCGTGGCGGGGACGCCGTCGTGAAGCCGCCTGCCAGGCCGCGGCGCTTCCGTCCCCGGAGCCTGGAGCCCGCGCAACATGGCGGCGCCCCGAGCTCGCGGCGGCTGCAGCCTGTCGGGCCTGCTGCCCGCGCAGACCTCGCTGGAGTACGCCCTGCTGGACGCCGTCACCCAGCCCGAGAAGGACGGCCTGGTCTACCAGTATCTGCAGAAGGTGGACGGCTGGGAGCAGGACCTGGCGGTGCCCGAGTTTCCCGAAGGTGAGGTCGGCGTCGGTGGGCGCCGTCCCGGGACCCCCCCGCCCAGGTTACCCGAGCAGACGCTCCATGGTGGCATGTCCCTGCCGCGTCGCCCCGGTCATCCGTGTCCTCCCGTCGGGCATGCCCTGCTCGCTTTCTGTCTGCCACCCGCATCCCACCACGCCCGGCGTGTTCTCGCTTAATCCCGCCTGCACCCCCGTGAGGGGTTGGTTTTACAGCCAAGGAAACTGAGGCACGGCAGATAACCGGCGGGGTTGGAGTGCAGTCTGCAGAGCCCTTGCTAGTCTTGCTTTGCAGCTGGGGAAACTGAGGCACGGGAAGGTTTGAGCACCGTGCCCAGCTGATAACTGGGCAGTGCAGAGTTGGATTGTGGTCTGCTGACCCCTGGGCTGGTTGCCCGCCCCCACCGTATTTCAGAGTCAGGAGGCTTGCACTTTTTCCCATCTGGGTCAGTTCTGGCTGTGGGATTGTCTGGAGCACCAGGGAACAGATGCTCCCCGGTGAAGTTGCAAATGAAACCTTATTTTCCCCTCTGTGGCTAGGAGTGGCACCGTTTGACCTGCTGGTGTTGGCAGGTGGCCCGGCAGGACACTGAGACCGCACGTATAGTTACTCGGATGGTTGAGACAGGGTTCAGCCATCTCACGGGAGGTGCGTCGGGGCCGCCACTGACAGCAGGCTGCTGTGTCTTTCCAGGCCTTTTGCACTCGCCTTGAGAAGGACCTACTTTCTTCCATTTTTGGTCTTAGACTGGATTTGAAATAGTGTGGAATTCTTAGGAACGAATGGGGTGCGTGAATGCTTATCCCACCAGAAAAACTTGGAAACACTGTATCAGTATGTATAAATATGCACATATTTTGCGAAAACGATGTAAGAAGGCAGTTGTATGGTATGCTGCTGTAAATAAGCGGGCCACCGTCCAGTCCTGTTTGTATTTACAGGAGGTGCATTTTAATTCGTATGACTCTTTTTGGTGGTACTGGGGTTTGAACTCTTCGTGCTTAGTGCTTGTTAGGCAGGTACTCTGCCACTTGAGCCATGCTTCAGTCCTTTTGCTTTGGTTATTTTGTGTTTTGCTGGGCTGGCCTGAACTGAGATCCTCCTGTTTTAGCTTCCCACTGTAGACACCACACCTGGCTTTTTTCTGTTGACACAGGGTCTTGCAAATTTTTCAATTTATTTTTTGTTTTGCCTAGACTGGCCTGGAACTGAGCTCCTCCCAATCTCAGCTCCCTGTGTAGTTTGGGATGACAGGCGCATGCCACCATTTTGCCAAGCTATTGGTTGGGAGTTTCATTAACTTTTTTTTTTTTTTTTTTTGCCCTGGTTGGACTCAAATCATGATCCTCCCGATTTTAGCCTCCCAAGTAGCTTGGCTCACCATGACATTTGACCTCTGTGACTCATACGTCATACACAGTCATGAAATAGGTTTCATTTCTGTACCTGATTATTGAGAACAAAATGCAAGAAATGAATAAAGCATATAGTTTTTGAGATAAAATTATGTTTATACTTTTTGATTATAGTTTACTGATAAACCAAGAAAATACTTATTTTTTAGAACAATCACATGTTTGTGGGAGGCAGTGCAGTATGGTGAATGGATTCAGGCAGACCTGGGATTAAATCTTTGTTACTCTCTTGTTTACCTGTGTGATTTTGAGCAAGTTAATTGACTTTCTCACTTGTAAAGTGCAGTGACTGAGTTCTTACCTTTCAGGGTTATTGTGTGGAGGTAATGTATGTAAACTTCTTAATTAACTAGGAACTTACTCAATGTTAGCTGTTTGTTGTATTTATTATAATTATTGCTATTATAAAACACATTATTTAGCCTCATCAGCTCCTAGCACAATAACTAAAATAACTTTTCCCACCCCTTAACCTAAACTGCTCTTGACCATTTGCAGAAGTCATAGAAGACAGATTGATAAATATCTTGCAAGTAGGATATGATATATACATTAATTAGTAGGAATAATTAACTGTATTATCACTTAATCTGGCTATAATTAACACTATTATTAGAATAGATAATTAAGAGTTCACGATAGGGTCCAGTACAATAGTTAACTCCTGTCATCACAGCTACCCACGGGAGGCTACCATGGTAGGAGTATCTCAGGCCTGCTGTGGGCAAAAAAGCAAGACCCTATCTGAAAAATAACTAAAACAAAAAAGAGCTGGGGACACGCACCTGCCTAGCAAGTGCAAGCTATCAGAGCCATAAATAAATAAATAAATAAATAAGAGTTCACTGTACCCTGAAACCTCACTAATATTTGGTACTAATTTGATTTGACTTTTTTTCTAGAATTTTACTGTAATTGGGTAACTCCCGTTACTGTTATTAATCATTAATTGCTATTAGTCTCCCTTGATGTGTGGTTTCATTTATCTAAGGTCAACCAGGTCTAAAAATACTAAGTAAAAAATTCCACAGTTACACAATTCATGAGTTTTAAAATATGTGCTTTCTAGTAGTCTGCCTTCCCACTGTGTCCTGCCTGGAATGTGAATATCCCCTTGTCCAGTGATGTGATTTACCCCCTCAGCAGCATATCAATACTGTGCATGTTACCCACAGTTAGTCGTTTAGTTGTCTTGGTTTTCAGATCATACCACAATGCTTGTGTTCCTGTAACCCTTATTTTCTTAATAAATGTCCTTAAAGCACAAGAGCAGTGAGGATAGCAGTTTGGATCTGCCAAAGAAGCTAAAAAGTGCTTCCTGTAAGTGGAAAGGTGAAAGTTCTCAAGTCACTCAATAAGAGAAAAAATATTGCTTGTTGAGGTTCTTAAGATGTTTGGTAAGAATGAGCCTTTTTATCCATCAAATTGTGAAGAAGAAGAAAAAAAGTCATGCTGTTTTTGCTGCCACACCTCTAACTCTAGCAGTTACTTAGGGCCACAGTGCATGTGCAGTTAAGGTAGAAAGGGTTCTTTGGCAGATTTAGGCATCTGTTTGGGAGGGTCTTAGAATGTATCTGCCATTTACTTGCTCTACCCAACATTTGCTTTTAGTTGCTGTAAAATATTTCCTAATACTTCAAGGTATAATTAATAGTTTTAATAACTTCATTTATTTATAAGCAATAAACTGTTTTCTTAAATTGGTTAAATAGGGATGCTATACTTTTAATACTAATTTAGCAAAATCTTTCTTCATAGTACAGAGTTAAATTTTTGAATCATAGTCAAGTAATTATAATTTCTGATTTCCAAAAGTACAGATTAATGAGATCCTATTTTTCTTTGACGGGAACTTGATCTTCATCAATATTAATGCTGCTTCTAACTTTTCATTTAAAATATTTTATTTTGTGTTTAGGGTTTTACCCAACTCCAGAACATTTCCGCTTCTTTTTTATGAGATTGGCTTAGGCATCTTATATGTTTAGCCTTACATACACTTTGTTCCTTTTTGATGCTTAGTCACATCTTACTACTTTTAAGCTTGATCTTCACTCTCAATACCCCATTTATACCTAATTATGTATGCAGTTAGAGCCTGTTAATATTTGATAGTTCCCCTTGTTTTTGCCTAAATGTGTGGATTTTACCCCTATGACACACAGACTCTTCCACTATTTCTGAAAAAATTTAATAGCTGCTCCTTGCTATGCTTGCAGATTGCTTTATAATAGCAGTTTTTCCATCCTCAATCTCCTGTTCCTCCCCTTCCCAGCCCAGTTCCCTCCTTTTCTTCTCTCCTCCCTCTTTAATCTCTGCCTTTTTGATCTTTTCCTTCAATCACAAATACCTGTTCTGCTATAGTCATGAAGATACATCATGTCTTGCATCTCGTTTATTGGTAGAAAAGGGTGGTTCTTATAAACAAAATAATTCAACTGCTACAGTTTAAGTAGTACTATCACATCTTAAGGTAGTTTGGCTATTAGTACTAGTCTTAGAAAAACAGTGATTCACATTTCAATGGAAAATTTTACATAAATTATCTCTGTTGTTTCCTTTAATCATTGTAATTTATTCTGTGTAAATTTCAGGGTTGGACTGGCTGAACACAGAAGAGCCTATTTCTGTCTACAAAGATTTGTGTGGAAAAGTGGTTGTCCTTGACTTCTTCACCTACTGCTGCATAAACTGTATTCACCTGTTGCCTGATCTCCACGAGTTAGAACAGACATACTCTCATAAAGGTATCTGCTCTTTGATTAGTTTCTAGCAAACTCTCCTGGCATAAGTACTGGAAGCTTATCTGACACATTGACTCATCAGACAGTGGACATTTGGCAAAACTGCAGTGATTCGATAAGTAATCTATAATCTATGAGTGAAGGACTCTGTGTGGATTCTTTTTCCATTTTGGTTTTTGAGGCAGGGTTTCATTATATAGCCACACTGGCCTCAAACTTACGACCCTCATGCCTGAGTTTCCCAAGAGCTGGGATTATAGGTATCCACTACCATGCCCAACTTCTGTGTGCCTTTTCATGAAGGGTTAAACTTAGTAGTAATGGTTTGCCTAGCTAAAGAACCAGAATTTAGAATTTAGTTTTTCTCTCAGGGTTAGGGCATAATTTACTTTTTTCATAATCAGGTATTCGAAAAGGCCCCTTTGTATGTCAGAGCTTATCTAAATTTATTCTATTAAAACAAAAGAAGTATCACCCTAATTTAATATCCTTCTCAGTGTGATAGGAAGGTTTAAAGTTCTTATTAGGAAAGGTGATTAGGTTTCCATTAATATGCAATGACATGAACTACAGTGGAATGAAAAATATTATAACAGATAGTTTTTCTTTGACCTTGCTTCATTAAGAATGATTTATTACAGTTAATGTTTTTCAAAGCACACTAGGAAATCCTCTTATGGTATTACAGATTCTGGAGATGGAAGAGATTATCCTTCATATTTGCTATAGAAGTTTGAAAAATTACCGTGTTTCTTTTTCTTGTTTACTTCTTTCTAAAAACAGCATGTGAGTAAATGAAATTGACAAAATGGTTCCGTTTAATTAAGTTGAAATGAATGGAAGTTCTGTTTGTGGAGTGGGTAAAAAGGAAATGGGGGCACTGAGCTTGTGAGAATAAAGATGGGAATAGACTCTACATGTACAAAAATGAAGGGCTTCTTGAATTTTAGTTAAATTTTAACTAAGATTCATTTTTTACTGAAAAAGTGTAATGGGTTAAAATTTTAAGTGCAAATAAAACTTCAGATGCTTTTAAGTTGTAATAGATTATATATTAAATATTACCAAGTACTGCTATCTAAAAAATGGAAATTGACAAGTGTTGGAAAGAATGTGGAGTAACTGGAAGCCTCGGACCTCACAGGTGACATGTAAAATGGTTCAGCCACCGTGTGAAACAAGCTTGGCTATTCCTCAAAATGTTAAATGTAGAATTGCTACATAACTCGGCAGTTAAGAAGTGAAAACAAGGACTCAAACAGATACTTGTATGCAACTGTTCACAGCAGTGCGATGAAGAGCAGTGAAAACATTTTGGAAATAATGGGCGGTAACACATTCTACATGCAACTAATGCCCCTGAATTGTACACTTAAAATTGGTAACAGCAAATTTTATGCTATATTTAACACAATAAAAAAAAATCAGTTGCAGAGAAGGTGGAAAAAAATATTACCAAATAAAAGATTTATGAAGAACTCAAGTGTTCCTGGTGACTAAATCATATTTTCAGAAATTCTTATGTATGAATTTAAGCAATATGAGTATCTTATTATTCCCTGGGTTTTAGATGTCTGTGTTTCTTCAAGCTAGCACATTACTTGTACCTGTGTTATGTGCATGTTGCTTTCACTGCTGAGGAAATACAGATTTGAATAAAAAGTGTTGTGACAATTCAACAGTCACTGTATGCTAATACAAAAGCATTATGGGACCCCCGAGGAAGATGTTCACTCACTTTGCCTGTAAACATTAGAAAGATTTCTCTGAGGAAGAGAGAATTGAGCTAGAACTGGAAAATGAGCAGGAGTGCAGCTGAATATGAAATGGGGCAGAAGTGACACTCCTGGTTGAGGTGGTGTTAGGGAAATGAGCAAGGAAGCACAGAACAGTGGGAGCCTTACTCCAGGCACAGGTGGATAATTGAATGTGTCAAAATTATAATTTTGTGGTATGAATAAAAGGAGATAGTTACGTTAGGACCATATTGTGAAGTACATTATGTATCATTCTTTTATACTTTTTCTTCCATTTAGGATGTGGAGATGTTGAAGGTTGTTTTGATTTGTTTGTTTTTTTAATTGGAGGATGATGTGATATTGTGTTTTGATATTGTGTGTGAAGGGCACTAACTACACGCTGGAGTTAAAAAAAATAATAATAATCCTAGAGTTAACCATTTCCTTACCTAAGATCACTCCTAAGTTACTATAGTTAGTTGGTTAACTCCACACCTGAAGCGAATTCAGTGACTTCTTCCAGTTATTCCTTGTAATCTCGTACCAGTTTAATAGAAGCTTTGTTTTTGTAGCACACTGTGACAATTTGTTGCATACAAATACAGCACTGAGTATTAAAATGCTTTGTAAATAGAAAGAGGATTCTGGGAACATGGAAGAGTAAGAAGCAACAGGAATGTGCCTGCCTAGACAATAGTTGCACTGGCAAAATCTATCTGATTTGGTACTCTGGATTCTATTGAAGGCTAGCAACTTGCAGGGGAAGGCTTGGACTGTAAGGTACTTTGATCAGTTTTATCCCTTAGCACAGTAGCAGCTACCTAGTGCGAGTCTCTGCTCCATGTCAGGCAGCTGTGTACATGTTTCTGGCGCAGCTTGTCTTGCAACTTGTTGGAGCCAGTTTGGAGAGAAGCACACTGTTCTCCAAATATTGGGGGAATCTGTGCTGATTGCTCCTTAAGATCACAGAGATCCAAGCAGAGACAGTGGCCATTGTTGCATATTTCTACCTTGTTGCAAGCCTCCCCTCTTCTAGGTGAAGTGACTTCCAGGTGATTGGTACCTTTTTTTTCCTCCATGTTTCTCTTTTTCTTCTTGTTGGAGTCCAGACATTGAGGACCAGTACATTCAGTAGCAACTGGACATACAAAGGAAGTTAGAAAGTCACTGTTGCAGGCTTAGGAGAAGAGGGAGTCTCAGAAGTGACCCAGGAAGATCATAAGTTTATACCTTAGGGTGATCAATGACAGAGAGATACCCTACTATAACAACAAAAGACAAAAAAACCCAGCAAACCCTGGTGAGAAGGGAATGAGGAGGGAAGAGTCTGACTTCCAGAGTTACTATATTTTCAACAAAAACCACAAGGCATACAAGGAAACAGGGAAGTATTGCCTATTTAAAGGAAGAAAAAAATTAATAGAAATTTTCCCTGAAAAAACCCACATGACAGATTTATGAGACAACAACTTTAAAACAATAGCTTTAAAGATGCTCAGAGAACTAAAGGAAGGTAATAGAAAAGGTACAAGAAACAGTATATCAACAAAATGAAAATAACAATGAAAAACCTTAAAAAAATATAGAGTAAATTCTGGAACTGGAAAATATACTTAACTGAAGTGAGAATTTCACTAGAGAGATTAAAAGATAGATTTGAGCAAAGCCACCAAATGTGAAGCTAAGGCGAAGGGAGTTATTGAGTCTGCAGAATAGACATAAAAATATTTGAGGTGAACAGAGCCTAAGGGACCTTGTAGAGCACCATCAGCCAGACCAACATGCTTTGCGATAGAGAATATTTGAAGAAATAATGGCTGAAAACTCCCCAAATTTAATGAAAGACACGAACATCCAAGAAACTTACCAAGCTTTTAGGTAGAATGGACTCAAATAGAGCCACACTAAAACACATTGTAATTGAACTACTTAAAGACAGGGAGAACTTTGGAAGCTGCAAGTGAGAAGCAGCTTATCACATACAAGTGATCCGTTGGTCAGATTTCTCATCAGAAATCAGAGGCCAGAAGGTAGTGGGTCAATATATTCAACTTGCTAGAAGAAAAAAACCCAACCAAGAATTCTACAGTTGGCAGACTTTTTCCAAAGTGAGGGAGGAAATAAGACCTACCTAGAAAACAAAAGCTGAGGAAGCTCTTCCTGAAGAAAGGCTAAGCGGAGTCCTGCAGGTAGAAATGAAAGGACACTGGTCAATAATCTGAAGACAATGAAGGGATGAAGATTTTGGTACAAGTAAATATATGGATGATTGTAAAAGTATTGCTAGAAATTGCTGTAACAATGATGAGTGACTTCACTTTTTGTTTCTATATGATACAAGAGACTAATACATTAAAATAATTATTAATTTATGTTTTTGGACACAATATAGAGGTATTTTTGTAACCTCAGCAATGAAAAGGTGAGGGCATTGAGCTATTATATTAAAGGAGCAGTATTTTTTCATGTTACTAAAGTTCACCTGGTAGAAATTCAAATTAGAGTGTTCTGTCATGTATTAAATATAATCCCCATGGTAAGCACCAAAAAAAAAAAGCTAAAGACTATATATAAAAGGAAATAGAAATTTAAACATTTTACTACAAAATAATTAAACACATACACACACAAAATAATGTAGCAAAGGAGAGACAAAAAAACCTGCCAAGGTATGTAGGAGACAAAAGGCAAAATGACAGGAGTAAGTCCCTCCTCAGTAATTCTTTTAAATGCAAATGGACTGGAGCTCTCCAATCAAAAGTCAGAGGTTGGCAGAATGGAGATAAAACATTATCCAACTATATGATGTCCGCAGGATACCATTTTGGCTCCAAAGACACAAATAGGTTGAAGTAAAAGAATGGAAGAGGATATTTAATGCAAATAGTATCTAAGAGAGGAGAAGTGGCTATGTTAATATCAAACAAAATGGACTTTAAATAAGAAAAAGGTGTATTAATAAAAATTTCAATACAGCAAGAAGATACAAAAATTATGAACACTTATTTAATAACAGACTCAAAATATATGAAGCAAAAATTAACAGACTTGAAGGAAGAATTAGATGATTCTACAATAGTACCTGAAGAATTCTATACCCAATTCTCAATAATGAATATATCAGCTTGACAGAAGATAAGTCAGGAAATAAAGGATTTGAAGAACACAGTAAACTGAATAGATCCAGTAGACGCACACAGAACACTGACTAACCATCTGGATATATATTCTTCTCAAGTGTGCATGGGACATTTTCCAGGATAG